CTGGACCAGTGTCTTGGACGGACCAATTCCACACGGCCACGGACCAATTTGTGAGACACAACGTCCGCCGAGACGCGGCAGCTGCCATAACCAAGGATGCCAGAGCATTCGCGGAACACACGACCCACATACATCGCGTTACCGGACATCCGCAGGCACCGGAGCAGTGTTCAAACCCACGAAAGCGATCGTAAATAGCGTACCTCGTTTCCCGGTCTGGCCGTCAGCGAATTCCCGACGACCAACGACTAACAGCAGCAGCAGCAGCAGCGCCCCTGACGGCGGACGGCGGAACTGGCCCATCGCCGCGCCGGTGGAGCGACCGCGACGCTCTCCTGCCGACGGCGCCGACCGACGACGTTTGTCTGACGAGCGCCGACGACGGCGCCGACGAGGTCCGGCGCGGCGACATCGGCGTGAGAAGTGGTCAGGTGCGCTTGCCCCGCGGCCGCTCAGCCCTCTGGGCGGGACCGCCCATTGGGCCGGCGGCTCCCGGGCTTAGGGGAGACAGAGCCTTGACGACGGCCCAGCTGCGGGGATCAGGTGCCTGACCACCACCCAATCCCCGCCTCCCGCCCATCGCCACTAGAGATGACCTCCTGATCCTGTCATCGGCGTACCGGTGCCATTGGCTGGTGATTAGGGAAGTTCAGGGGCAGCGAACACCACGAATGCGCACTTGTTAAGTGTGGAGCTTTATCCAAGTTAATCTTATAATTCGCTCCATTAGGTGCAGTTTAGCCAATATTAGCCCTTGGCATGCTGCCAATGAGTCCTTATATTAAAAGGCTACGGTTCTTACTTGAAAGTCGGAAGCCATTCTCGCAGGTGAGCAAGTCTCACGAGTTTACACAGCCGTCTCACCGCAGGAACGGCAAGGGCCCATTCTCACCACTGTGTTACGGCAGTCAGCGGCCGGTTTGTGCGTGCCTGGAGACCAGTTAGAAGTTTCAAGGGCACCCGAATGACCTTCTGTGATCAATCAATATTTGGGTGCTGCTACAACTGGCAATTTGTGCTGGACAAAGGCATTTATTTGGTTCCAGTTTTGACCGCATGGTTTTTGCAACCATTCGACGGGTCAAATATTTGAATGCAGGTTGAATCTTTATCAAGCAGAAACTGGTAATAGCATGGCTTCTCACCTATTGTCTCAGCTACGGTAGGGTCGTCAATAACATGGTTCCTCACGCTTGATTTGAAGCTTCTTAGCGGGTTAAATAGCTATCGGGAGCTGACGAAAGATTTCAATCAAAGTTATCGAAATACTTGAGCTTTCTTTGGCGTTGCCCTTATGGCTGGATAATGCAGCATAGAAGCTTTTTGACAGCGACTGCACAGACTCTTCGAAGTATGCATTATCTAGCTCTCTACATGCCGTTGCCATCCAAATGCTTCTACACGAGTTTGCACGACTCAGCCGATTGACGTCATCGGGGTACACTTTTATTGTCTTTCTTTCAATGAAAGTGAAGCGGCTTTCTGTGGTTTTATGAATATTTCAGTCCCTTTTTACCAACTTCACTGCTTTTTATGATTATGAAACTTATGCATTTCTATCTAGATTTGCAGTGAATTAGTGGACCGCTATGGTGGATTTCAACATTTTTAAGCAGTTTTTGACGACAATGCTATCGGTTCTTATGGGCGACAGAGTGACGCTTTGTAGACGCGAGCAAAGCTATCTGGTGAGAAGGTGGTTGTCGAACCCAAGAACGGTAGAGAGTTGAATAGTGAGTGAAAAATTTCATTTAGCATTGAAAACATTGTGGGAATGCTACTTCAAATCTTCAATCATTTCATCGTGGCGAAGGCAAGTGTGTGTTATGCAGTGTGTTGTGGGTTTAGTGCGTTCTTTGTTTCTGAAACAAGCGGTAGCGGTGTAATATTTATGGAGAGGTTGGGGAGGCGAGGCGACCCAGTTTGTACCAGTGATTTGTACGGCAATGATTTGCATCTCGTTTCTCTCCGTGCACCGTCAAAAAGCTGTTGTTTAATGCTTAAATGTTCAATGTTACCCGAAGTTGGAGGGAGAGGGCCTGCCCCTCCAATCCGCCGCCCGCAGGAAGAGCCACTGATATCCAGGCTCGCGATTGGCGGTTTGTATTTGAGGAAGAGCGGAACATTGATCTTTGAAAACTCTGCATTTTCTATCATTTTTTTTGTGGCAAATATCATGTCATGTATAAGTGGAGTCAAATGCAGCGCCAGTGGCGTATGCAGAAGGGGAGGGGTACAAGGGACACAAGCCCTCCCCCTCCCCTCCCTAAGTTCCGGCTTCCGAGCGTCCAGGAGGGTCCAACGGGCCGATGATCAAGAGCCCTATCTTAGGGCCTTAGGGCACGGCCAAACGGAGTCTTCTTCAGGGGCCCGACCTGCGTGGACGGGCCCTCAGATGACAGTCAGCGGATCCTTTGCGCAGTTAGGAGACTCCGACCTGCGTGGACGGGTCCTCAGATGACAGTCAGTGGACCCTTTGCGCAGTTAGGAGACTCCGTAGTCGATAAAGGTTTGGCACTGAGTCTGGCACTAGCATTAGCACTGGCACTGGCACTGGCACCTGAGTCTGGCACCACCAGTGCCGTACAGTCGGCGCCATGTTGGTATGTGCATGAGGGCCCACTTTCAGGACGAACAGCGACCAAGCTGGGACCATTGCATCTATCAGGGGCTTACAGTGCCTACCAGAGGATTCTGTGTCGGCAAGGGGTCCCGAGCCGACCAAGAGCAGTGTTCAATGAGACCCGAAGACGGGTCCGGGGGCTCGCCAAAACCGACAATCGAGAGCCTGATTGGAGGGCATAAGGGCCCGAAGGGCTGACTGTAGGTCACACAAATGATAACGACCCGTGCGACCGAGACCCGAAATATTAGACAGTGAGGCCTCCTGAACCGTTTGAGGGCCCCTGAGATATTGTAACACCAAGCAATTGGCTACGTTTTGGTCTGGACCCTGGGATCCCATTTCCCAAGCAAGGACAAGGCCGGGGCCCATGATTGGCATTGGTCTGGTGCCTGAAACAATGATTAGGCCCCAGTGTCGGTCATGGGTCCATGGTGCCTAACAGTGAATCATATGTCGGCAAGTATACCCAAGTCCTTAACGAGCCTTGTTTGAGGAGGCCGAAGAAGGTCCCAAGGCCCCCTCGGGACCAAAGATCAATGGCCCAATTGGAAGGCTGAAGGTGAAGAGGCCATAGGGCTAGAAGGACCACTGCGCCTTAAGCTGCAATAAGAACGCACCCCGCCCGTTGGGCCGTGACCCTCAAAGCCGGTCAAAGGGCCACTGCATCGATTGGGATCCGTGGGACAGTGCGGGCCTCATACCAGCGTTTGAGCACTCGGCCTCGATCTGCGCCAGTCCAATTCTAAAGTGAAAAGAGTGGCCGGATGAGTCCACATTGAAAGGGAGGGGGCTTAAGTACGCCCATGGTGCATGTGCTGGGTATTAAATGAATAACAAATATGACGGTGGAAAGCCGCGCACTGTTCGCTTCCCTAACAGCCAGGCATCCCGCGCTGTGCATTTTTCACTGCTGGAGCTTTTGTCATCCTCAGGCCTGACTTATCGCCGGGACGCGAGCATGCCCATATGATTTTCGGCGGATGAAGTCGCATGCCCAGCACCGAACTAACCGTCTGAACTGGCCTCGGTGACCGCTCGCCCACTGTGTCAGGTGTGCCAGCTCCTGCAGAATACTCGAGACCTGCAGCACGTCCAGACCGAGGGTGTCTTCGGCCGGCGGCAACTCAGTCCCTCAACTTAGCGACTCAGCCAGCATCGACTGGCCAAGGGTCGATGGAGGGATTTGGTGTCGCCAATATTGTCGCACTACGCTCCATCTGCCGGAAGACCTATGCATTCGCCCAGCATGTCATGAACATGCCCTGCCTTTAAACGGCACGCTATCAAGGTGGATACGTGGCTTCCAAGTTCCAGCT